TTCATATCTACACACTTACTAATTTTTTTTATTTATTAATTTCGGGCCGAAATTTTTTCTTGATCCTAATGAATATTTTAGCATTTCGCATGATTCTATGCCACTTTATATTATCAAACTTGCAAAAATATTTTGATTTATTCAAGGAGCTCGACGCAGAGCATGTGCCGATCTTCTTGGTTCGGTGCATCCAGCAGTTGGAGGCTATTTCAACACAGTCGCTAGAACGATTGGAAATGTCTACTGGGGATTCGGCGATGGTTATCCCCGAGCTGATTGACTTAATTCGTGTATACAAAAAGTCGCATTCCTTAGCAGAGATTGACAAAATACGTCAGCAGTACGATTCTCAACTGCCTCTTCCAGATGCTGAGAATAAATGTGGTTCCTGTACCAGCCAGGTGATGGAATCTGATCCCTGTCGCCTGTCTCAGATGATTAAGTGGTTTTTTAGAGAATTGCCAGATCCCGTGATTCCAAGCCATCTTTTTAGTGATTTTGTCGCTTTCCTGGAAAATTCAAAGACAGGTGATTGTACAATTGTTGTAAATATTGTTGATGTTGATGTTGATGCGGATTAAATAGTCGTGCTAAGAGATTACTGTTACCCAATTTTACTAACAATATGAATCTTGGCTTCATCAAGTAATCTCACTTATTATGATGGTCCTTTGCTCCTAAGACTGTAACCCCTCTGCTCACAATATAACGATAACAATCTATTTTCTTCTACTGGTTAAACTCACTAAAATCACGTTTTTAATCCTACTGTCCTGGAAACAAGTAATTATTTCTAAGAGTGAATACGACGTTCACTCATCGTCATACTCTATGACGATTGATCGAAGGGAAGTGCGCTCGTATCTACAGTTAAGTGATATTTTTGGATGTATTCATTCTATTTGAGCTAATGAAGGTCCCACAATGATATGGGTAAGTCTTACGTCTACATTGAATTCCACTTATCCTTGCTTCTCTTATTTCTTCTCATACAGGCAGTAGTGAACTCCAATTTTGACCTCGCATAGATCTACTGAACTCCTCCAGCCGGACTCGAATGTATCATTACTATACCCTACACTAACGTGGTTAGAGTCCCGCTGCGGGTGCTGGGGATACCTAAGCTGTGTCTAAAATGAAATTCACCGTGGATGAGAATACCTTTTGGGAAGCAAGGTTATGTGAAATTTTATGTAAATGTAAGATCTCTTCATTGTGGGATAATTAAACTACAAGTCCTTTATTACCTTAACGAAATAGGATGGATACATCTCATATATACGATCTACTGGTAATCTCGAAATTTTACTTAGAGGAAAAAAGTGTTATTTTGTTTAAGATGATGAAGGACTGGCTTGCATTTTTTAACAAAGATATGAGTAGGTCTCATATTTCCATTGAATTTCACATAGCCTTGTTTCTTAAAAGGTAGTCTCATCTAGTCTGGATTGCAGTTTCGATCTGGCCTAAGTCTCATCAGCACCCTGGCTGGACTCGAATCCTGCTGGTTTGACGTTTAGTCTCGACTCGTTAATCATTACGTCATACTGCCACAAGTGTCCTTGGGTCACAAGATGGAGATGAATTCCAGGCAAGGCTAGGTCTTTTCCATATTACATTTCTGGGGTTGGTATTTTAACTACCAGTTCTTCATTACTTTAATCGAATGCAGCTCTCGCAAACCTAATTTTATTGCTATTTTTCCATTAACTAGCTTTTATTAGCATCTTTTTTATTAAGTAAATTTAGGATTTGTCGATTTAGAGCTAAAAACTTT